GAGAGAGAGAGAGAGAGAGAGAGAGAGAGAGTCATTATCCATATGTACTCGTGAAGATTATCTATGTTTAACTAAATGGTTAAAATGATTTAATTATAAAACACTATTAAAATGATATTATTTAAATATTTATTCGTACAGAACCAGGGACCTATATACTAGTATATAGGTCTCTGATAGAACGGATAACATTTCTTCAAAAACTGAAAACGTTAGTATATATAAACATTGTTTTACGGTTTAAAAATCTATTCGGGGTAGGGGTTGCTAGGAAGGGGCGAATTGCTATATATAGCGAGATTTCCCGCGGAAGACTATATTGAAACTTCCCCGGGGGGAGTCCCAATGTACATGTATAGTCTTCCGGCATCAGTCTTTTAAAAATTTGAAGTTTGATTAATAAAGTATTAAGACAGAAAATCGAAAAAACACGAATAATCCCGGCCCGGGTTTGCTTACCTAATTTTACCAACACTCTTAGCGAACACCCCTGCCACCTAGCGTTATAATGCGGCACTAAATTCGGACAACTTGTATTCGTCTTCATTGAATATGCTTCATTGTTTGCGTGATTGAGTTAACGTTCGTAATAGTTATAATCATTTAAGAAACTGTATCAATTTAAAAGAAAGTAAAATGAATTTACAAGAATAAAGTAACATAGAAGTAAGGGCAAAATGAAGAAGGATAAAAGTCAAAGTGAAATGTAATGAAGACGAATATGAAAACAATAAAGTGACATATAATTACAATAATATAAACAAAGCATAAAGAAGTAGGCAGAATAAGAATAAAAGCAAGATACATAGACTTTTGGCGGTAATTCCCTTCCATACCAGAGAAGGTTATCTTTCTTTTACAAAGATTCAAAGAAAATTTTTCAGATGTCTGAAAACTTAATCGCAAGTGAGTTAAGGCTAAATACAGGCATTTCTATGCAAATTAGCTAATAAAAATGCATAATTTGTTTATTTAATATACAGAGGAAGTTCAAATTGATCTTCATATTCATACTTAGGACCGACAAAATATTAAAGCTAGTACACATTATGACGTCATACTATGACGTCATTTTTCTTTCCCATTCAAGTAATAAAACACATCAACAAAACAACGTCGGCGCAAGGGCATAACCTATTTAATTTAAAATAAATATTGTATAATATTAAGGAATTTATTCTAAAAATTCAAAAAATTGCTGCACAAATCCTATGCACTCTTTCATTCGATAAAAAAATTATAAAACTTACACTGGACTGTAAATTTTCACCCTGTTTCAACTTAAAACTGTACAAATAGTAACTAAACACTCACAGTGTCGACATTTGTGCAGCAACATCTTAAATTCTTAGAATATGCTGCGTCAATTTTTACCTCGTTTCTGTAAAACAAAGTAAGGTATGCCCTTGCGCCGAAGCGATTTTGTTGATGTTCCTTATAAGCTTATGTAGTAGAGGTTGATGACGTCATAATATGCACTGGCTATTGTATGTCGTGGGTAATAAGAATGTATACGACAACAAGTCTTAACTTTTTCTGTGCGGTAGTAAAAGTCATTTTGGTTTTAATTAGAATTTTGAATAAAAACCTCTATACGTAGCCTTAACTCACTTGCGATTATTGTCCCCGCTTTCGCGAAAGCAAGGGTATATTAAATCTCATTCGTCTGTCCATCTGTACATTTGTCAGTCTATCCGTCTGTCATAAAAACTTTAACATTAGTCATATCTTTTGAATGAGGAGAGACAGTGCTTATCTTTTGAATGAGGAGAGACAGTGCTTTCACATTAAACATGTATTACCTGCGACAAGACCTTTCTAAACAATACACTAAGATTTTGACCCCGTGACCTTGAAGACCGACCTACTTTTCAAAAAATTTAAATAGTACAATGAATTGGCAATAACTTTTAAATGAGAAGAAATATGCCTTACATATTAAACATTTATATTACCCATGACAACAAGATCTTTCTAAAAACACTTACACTCTTGACCTATTGAACTTGAAGTTTTACCTACTTTTCAAAAACTTGAATCTTGGTCATGACTTTTGAATGAGAAGAGATAGGGCTGTCACATTTCACATGCATATTACCTGTGACAAGATCTTTCTAAATACACTATGATTTTTGATCCTGTGACCTTTAACCTTGACATTTAACCTACTTTTCAACAATGTTATTTCTTACACCTAAAAAATATCGAATCTGAGGTTCAAAATACTGTTATATCATTTACTGACCATGGGTTCAAATTTTAGCAGAATATATTGACTCCATTAAAAAATTTAGCATTTCCTTTTTGGGTGGATGTGTAAGTAGGGTTAATAAGGATGAAGAGCACAAGAGATAATGATTGCAAAATATTAAATATACCTGCTTGCAAATAGATTATCAACTTATGTATTTATGTAGAATGTTGCCTCAGTTGCAAAAATCAGTAGTCATGGAGGATTCCAAACTAAAAAATGGTGAATAAAAGAAGTCACAAATAATAGTTGGTTTACAGCTTGATTTGAGATGAGAAATATTCGCTTGTAAACGAAGGTCCCGAAACTCGTGGATATTCTCATTTATGAATAAATGTTGGTTTACAGTATCCTAGGAGGATAAGTTAAAGTGTGAAACTGACTTAATTTCACTGCAATACCTGGTTGCATGCACACACACCTGCTCACTGGAAAACAAAATATTTAGGACAGAAAACACTGGAGAATCAAATGTTCAATTTGAATATACTAAATCCATAATGTTTTAATCCCCCCTTTACTGTACAAGACACCGCCAAACATTTAAATACATTAACCACATCCCCCTAACTTTTGATTTATAATACATGCAGGTGTATAATTGGGGTTCAATATTTTGCAACATTATATTGTGACCATCAAAAGATTTATAACATCAGAGGTGGGATCAGGTGCCATGGAGAAGTAAGCATTCCTAACATCAATACTGCATGTTGTATAAATGTGAGGAAAATAATAGACAGACATAATTTAAAACATCACTGGCCTATGTTTCAAAATGATAAGAGTAACAAGTAAGGGACAAATGCATTCTTAATAACATCACTGATTAGACAGGAACACATGATTCAGTGATATAATTATCATTGGTGTAACAGGAAAGGAGAAAATGCATGGCTGGACCGGGAATCGAACCCGGGACCCCTGTATCTCTAGTCAGGTGCTCTACCAACTGAGCTATCCAGGCCGATATCCACGGCCCTGACCATTACATTCCTCCCTCCTTAAAGGTCTTTGGCCCTCCAAAGACCCCAACCCAGGCTCATCCCTGGCAGGTCTTTCACCTGTCAATTCCAGGGCATGGCACGGCACCAAATCTGTAACAGGAAAGGAGAAAATGTATGGCTGGACCGGGAATCGAACCCGGGACCCCTGTATCACTAGTCAGGTGCTCTACCGATTGAGCTATCCAGGCCGATATCCACGGCCCTAGCCATTACATTCCTCCCTCCTTAAATGGTCTTCGCCCTCGAAGACACAACCCAAGTTCTTATTGCCCCTGACAGGACTTTCACCTGCAAGTCCAGGGGTGGTCAACGGCACCAAATCTGTAACAGGAAAGGAGAAAATGCATGGCTGGACCGGGAATCGAACCCGGGACCCCTGTATCTCTAGTCAGGTGCTCTACCAACTGAGCTATCCAGGCCGATATCCACGGCCCAAACCATTACAATTGGAAATGTAAAGTTTTTTCTTACATTATTATAAATGCTAATAAGCACTGTCACTTCTTGTGAGCAACCTACTTCCTGTTCTACAGCATATTGTTGTGAATAAGAAAAGTAAATGATTCATCTTCAGTTTATTATCAAAATGTAATGAGGAAAAAAAAACAACAGAAGATAACAAACAAAAACAAAACATTCATAACAGTGTATACTAAGTAAATCAGTTTGTTTCAATTCTTAGACAAAAAATCAAAAAAGGAACTACCATAAAAGGTCCATATGGATAACCATTCAAGTTTGTTGAACAAATTAGACCCAGAATATTAATTAAGCTTTCAGATCAGGTGGGCTAAAAATGAAGCAAAGGAACATATTTGGGACCTCTGATTATATACATTCCAATAATTTTTAAAGACTGGTACTTCCTAAAACCATGACAAGTAAACTGCACATTATGAATTAACTAGAGAAAATGAACGGAAACTACAAATTATGCAGAACTCTGTCCAGAATGTCCAATCATACCCAGAACAAAACTTGACCTAGATATTCTTATGATAAATCTGTATACCAAATTTCATTTCAATATGTTCAGCCAGGGTTCGAAATTACCTTTTGTAAGCACTTTTTTGGTAAGTTTCAGCTTTTTTGGCTCAGTGGTTCTAATGACAAGAAGATATTTTAAGTTATTTCCTATATATTTCCATGTAAAACTTTGATTTCTTAGTGTATTATTTAGTTTTTGTGATGAAAGTGCAAAATAAATATGTGAATTTAGAGAAGATATAAATAAAAAATGCCAGTAGCGACAATAACGATAGTGTTACAGAGTAAACAATGAGCCCATCTCAATAAGCCCATTCTCTTTTAACATTTTTTCTATATATCACACTACAAACAAACAATATCATTGCATAGTTGACAATGATGTTTACGTCAAAGAAGGTAAATAATGTAGAAAGACCCTCTGGTCACTGTTGTTATTTTTATTTATGCCAGTTTTCTAACAATATATGGCAATTAAAATGTAATTCAACAAAACTTAAGTTTACAAAATTGAGCAACATTTTTGAACAGTTTTTCTTGTTAAACGTAGCCAGCTAGTACGATGTATTCATTAAGAGTTACCTCTCTTAGTTTAGAATTAGATCCCCTTAAAATAGGACTTAATTTTTTAAACAAATTCTTTATTTCTTTAAACTAACCCAATAGTATGTACTTTACCTACATCTGACACACTTATCATGAATAGGAATAGAGTTTACTTGGCTTTCATAAAATATCTGGCAATAAACATCCGTACGTTTAAAAATTCCTTATTTTTCCTGCTCAAGTAATTCTGCATTTATTTTGCGACAAGACTTCATGTGTATCTTGAGCTGTACTTTCTGTGGATAACCTTTACTGCAGATCGAGCATCTGAAGGGGAGGATCCCGGTGTGTAGGCGGGTGTGTATCTTCAGGCTTCCCTTGGTGGATAAACTCTTGTTACAATACTCACAGACAAACAGTTCCCTGGGTCTCTGGAGCCTCCGTGTGGCACCAGTCCTTTTCCTAGGCTTTGATGACGTTTTCTTGAATGCTGAAATTTTAAAGACTATTTACAATGATCATAAAAACACATTCATATTTTTTGGCAATAACATTTTTAACAAGACATATATGGAATTAATCATTTTAATAATAACCTTTAGAATGATTCTGAATGGAATGTTTGTGTAGTTCCTCTGCTGTGAGGAATGTCCTTCCACACTTTTTACACTTGATCCTTTCACCATGTGTCTGGATGTGATTCCGGAAGCTTCTCATGTTGGGGACTACCTCATCACAGAGTCCACAAATGTGAAGAATCCCCCCTTCCTCAGATGTCCTCCCTCTCCAGTGCTTGGTCACACAACCATACACCTGTCTCAGGTAGGCATTCAGATTCACAGGGGTCTGACTTTTATCGTCATGTTTTCGGTGATGCTGAATTGCTAGTTTCTCTGACTTGAGAGAAATTTCACAGGCATGACACCAGTAGTAAATAGTACAGGACTGTAAAGCCTCTGGGGTCACTCCTCGATCATGCTTTTCCATTAGGCCTGCACTGGTGGTATCTGGATGCTCCATAAAACTTTTCATGGTCTTCTGAATCAAAATGTTGCTTATGTTTTCTTCTTTACATCTGTAACCTGCCCTTCCTCTTTGTAAATCTTCAGTTTCCCATTCTTCTGTACTATATCCATTGTTGTTCACATCTATACTTTCTTTGTTTATTTTTCTTGAATCAGATTCATTTTCTAACTCTTTCCCTTCAGTGTGTGACAGGTTATCAGCACCGACAGACATTCTGCCAGATCTCCTGTTGATGGTGAAATACTGACCATATTCAGCAGAGTCACATTCTCTCTCAGGTTTAACCAGTAAATCAGCACTACAGTCTACCCACTCCTTGGTCAGTTCTCTCTCAGGCTTAACCTGTAAATCAGCACTACAGTCTACCCACTCCTTGGTCAGTTCTCTCTCAGGCTTAACCTGTAAATCAGCACTACAGTCTACCCATTCCTTGGTCAGGTCTCTCTCAGATTTAACCTGTAAATTAGCACTACAATCCACCCACTCTCTGGTTCTTTCTTTCTCAGATTTAACCTGTAAATCAGCACTACAGTCCATCCACTCCCTGGTCCTGTGAAGACTTGTATCTCTACAAGATTTCTCAAATTTTCTCAGGAAATGTAACTTGGGTTTAAATATCCTATATTTGTCCTTATATTCATCAGCCTCCCTTATAAATCCAGTGCTTTTCTTGTGAGATTCCTGGTCCTCTTCATTTTTGGCCTGAGTTCCTGTACAATAATTGCTGTCTTCGATTTCTGAAGGCTGGTTTCTTAACACTCTTGATTTCTTTCCTCCCTGTAACA